TGAATGGAACCTTAGTGTATGTGTTGTTTTTCTTTTCTTTTGATTTTTATCTCAACAACTTTGTTATTGTCGTCCTTTATGTGTGTTTGTATACACACTGCACAAAAAAAATGTATCCCTTTAAATCCTATAGAACTACACTGCTCAAAAACAAAATGAAAGGAACACTTTGAAAACACATCAGATCTCAATGGGGAAAAAAATCTCCTGCTGGATCTCTATACTGATATGGACGGGGTAATGTGTTAGGAATGTAAAGGTTCCCCATAGTTTGATGGAAATGATCGACCTATAGAGGACTGAATAAAAAGAAAATCCGAAAATCAAAGTGAAAAAATGATGCAGCAGGCTAGTCCATTTTGCTGAAAGTTCATTGCAGCAACTCAGAATGGTCCTCAGTAGTTTGTATGGCCCCCATGTACTTGTATGCATGCCTGACAACGTCGGGGGAGGCTCCTAATGAGAGGATGGATGGTGTCCTGAGGTATTTCCTCCCAGATCTGGACCAGGGCATCACTGAGCTCCTGGACAGTCTGTGGTGCAAACTGGCGTCGTCGGATGGACCGAAACATGACATCCCAAAGGTGTTCTATTGGATTTAGGTCAGGCAAGAGTGGGGGCCATTCAATGGTATCAATTCCTTCATCCTCCAGGAACTGCCTGCATACTCTCTCCACATGAGGCCGGGCATTGCTGTGCACCAGGAGGAACCCAGGACCCACTGCACCAGTGTAGGGTCTGACAATGGGTCCAAGAATTTCATCCCGATACCCAATGCAGTCAGGTACCATTGTCTAGCCTGTAGAGGTCTGTGTGTCCCTCCATGGATATGCCTCCCCAGACCATCACTGACCCACCACCAAAACGGTCATGCTGAACCATGTTGCAGGCAACATAACGTTCTCCACGGCTTCTCCAGACCCTTTCACGTCTGTCACATGTGCTCAGGGTGAACCTGATCTCATCTGTGAAAAGCACAGGGTGCCAGTGGTGGACCTGCCAATTCTGGTGTTCAATGGGAAATGCCAATTGAGCTCTATGGCGCCAGGCAGTGAGCACAGGGCCCACTAGAGGACGTTGGGCCCTCAGGACACCCTCATGAAGTCTGTTTCTGATTGTTTGGTCCACACCAGTGGCCTGCTGGAGGTCATTTTGTAGGGCTCTGGCAGGGCTCATCCTGTTCCTCCTTGCACAAAGGAGCAGATACCGGTCCTGCTGATGGGTTAAGAACCTTCTATGGTCCTGTCCAGCTCTCCTAGAGTAACTGCCTGTCTCCAGGAATCTCCTCCATGCTCTTGAGACTGTGCTGGGAGACACAGCAAACCTTCTGGCAATGGCACGTATTGATGTGCCATCCTGGATGAGTTGGACTGCCTGTGCAACCTTTGTAGGGTCCAGGTATCACCTCATTCTACCAGTAGTGACACTGGCCCTAGACAAGTACAAAGCTAGTGAAAAAAAAAAAAAAGTCAGAAAAGAGGAGGAGTCAGGAAAAAATTGTCAGTGGCCTCCACCTGTAAAACCATTCCTGTTTTATGGGTTGTCTCATGGTTGCCCATCTAGTGCACTTGTTAATTTCATAAACACCAAAGCAGCTGAAACTGATTAACAACCCCCTCTGCTACTTACCTGACCAGATCAATATCCCAGGAGTTTCATTCATTGACTTGATGTTAGACTCTGATTAAAAAGAGTTCCTTTCATTTTTTTGAGAATATATATATGTATATACATATACACACACCCCCCCACACATTTATTGTAGTTCTTGCGTTTATTTTTTTGAGCAGTGTGTGTAATATAATATATATATATATATATATATATATATATACACATACATACATACAAACATACATACATACACATACATATACATACACACACAGTATAGCTTTTTGTATTGTTTAGTGTGTGTTGTTCTTTGAAAAACATTTTGGAGTTGTGTCTCAAGAGGGTCCTGATGAACAAACTCCCACGAAACACACTGACAGATTAACATTTTCTTTAGGTGCTCTTATTTCCCTTTTTTGTAGAAATATTATTATTATACATCCGAGTTGTTTTCCTTGCCTCTATTTTTTTTTTAATGCTGCAATAATAAAGCATTTGGGATTTTATAGATCTCTGTAAATTTATAACTGTGGCTTTGTCTCCTGAGGGTTATATGTACAGTCCCATATCTTCTGATACTGCCACTGAATGTCAGTCAGGGATGACACCTTCAGAATACCAGGTTTAGATTATGCTATGCTGAAAGTCAGAAGTGGTCTGTTGAATACGAACTTAAAAAATATATCCAAAATATGCACAAAAAAAAAAAAAAAAAAAAAAAAAAAAAAAAAAAAAAAAGGTGCTTCTTTTGCCCATATTTTGGATATATTTTTAAGTTAGAATGCCACAGACCGCTTCTGACTTGAAGGCTATCCATGCGGAAGTTGTTAGGTCACACTCTGGATTACTGTACAAACGTATTTTTTGTTTGAATGCGCTAAACATGAAAAATATAAATATGGCAAACCAGTATTGCACCACTAATATTGTTTTCTAAGTGACATATGATATACCAGACCAGGATCTCCAGGTGGCAGTTAAATACCTGTAGTGGCAGTTGGCGTCGGGGGTGGGGACTGAGTTACAGGGATAGAAGATTCTTCCTCTGATATTAACTCATGCTCGGCATCTGCAGGGTTAAATTGGTGTTAGTTATCATGCAGGTTATCATGCGGGTAGAGTGGACAGAGAGGTGTCGGATCCAGTTACAGAAATGGGAGACAAAACATCAACGAGGATGTGATGGGGAGGAGAAGGAAGAAGAAACTGGTTAAGTATCGAGAAAGAGAAGATGAATTGGTCATTGAACAGACATGTTATAGTATGGAAACATAGGAAGGAATCAGAGAAGCATTTCCATAAGGTGACAATGTTAATGGTACAAAGATTTTACAGTACAGAGTAGAAGGTGCTGAGGACAGATGAAGTGGGGAAAACAAAACAAAAGCCAACTGCAGCCTAAATAAAGTACAAACATTGTCAATGCGTTTGTTTTCTTTTGTTCAGCTGACCTCCAGCCTTGCACAGTTGTACAGGCTCATCTTCTGTACAGAAACTTGCACACTGTGAGCTTCACAATGTGCATAAGAAGCTGCAGCAAGTCAGAGAGAGCCCGCCTCATTTCCTGGCTGGAGGACATCCAGCATCATCTAGCTCTTTTCCACCCAGACTGACTCTCCCTGGCCCGCCCTTTCCTTTCATTCGATTTCAGTAACTTCAATCACTGAGGTTCAGCCACAAGTGGTCATTGCTTAACCACATCATGTCCGGACACTTTTACCCCCTTCCTGTCCAGGCCAATTTTCAGCTTTCACACTTTGAATGACAATTGTGCGGTCATGCAACACTGTATCCATATGAATTTTTTAGCATTTTTTTTTTTTTTTTTTTTTAGACAGATAAAGCTTTATTTTGGTGGTATTTATTCACCAATGGGATTATTATTGTTTTTGCTATTTAAATTAAATGTCCAAAAATTTTGAAAAAAAAAGTATTTTTCATATAAAATTTTGCAAATAAATAATATTTAATCATAAATCTTGGCCAAAATTTGTTATCTTTTTAGTAAAAAAAAACAAAAAAAAAAAAAAAAACAAATTAGTTTATAACCAAAAATTAGAATTTAAAAATTTTTTTTTACATTTTTATATTATCAGTTATGGTTTTTTTTTTTTTTTTATACTGTCACCCTAGCAGTACAGTGTCACCATAGTGACACTGTACTACTTGTAGGGGGTGATGATTGTTTTTTTTTTTTTACACCCATAAAGGCTGAAAAAGCAATAATTTCTCCTCCTCTCTGGCTGCAAGAATGCAGCCATTGAGAAATACTGTGAGAGCTGTGATTGGTCACAGCTTGTCACATGGAACAAGGCTCTTGGGAATGGCTTTGTACCATGTGATCATTCACAGATTTCACACGTAGTAAGCAATGATGTCAGAAGTGACATCTTGCTTACTACTCTGTATGTGATCATTGATTGGCTCCCAGGGAGCGCGCACAAGCAGGGGGTGGGGAGGCCGTTTATGACTGAGTTCTGAGATTTGATCTGCTCCCAGAATTCTATGGGATACCCTGGAAGACTGGATGTCTGCTGTATCAGATTTTTTTTTTCTTTTCAAGGGGGCTAGAAATAGTGCAGCTGATTTTTTTTAAATGGACTAGTAATAGCAATGATCTTCCCTAAGCAACGGGCTCCAATAAGTAATAGAAAACAGGAAAGGTAGACTTTCTTCTTAGATCTGATCCGCTCCCAAAAGTCTACGAGATTCCCTGGAAGACTGGACCTCTTTGTTGTATCTGATTTTTTTTTTTTTTTTAGGGGATAGTATAGACGTTTTTTAAAAATGGACTAGTAATAGCAATGGTCTGTCCTCGACAAAAGACTGCAATAAGATACAGTATATAAAACAGGAAAAGTAGACTGAGTTCTTACTCTAGGTTCACATATATGCGCCCCGCGCGGGCCGCGTTTTGCGTGGACACGAGAGCCCATTCATTTGAATGGACTCTCGTGCCCCGTGACACACAGGGAAGAAGTCCCTGCACTTTTTCTGAAAATGCAGCCCGCACGGGAACTTCGGTTCCCAGTACGGCTGCGTTTTCCAGTGCGGGTCCGCATTCTTCTGTGCAGGTGGTGCGGCTGCACGGATTTTCTTGCGGATCCCAATCCGCACCACCCAAACCAAGCCTTAGATTTGATCTGTTCCCAGACGTCTATGAGTTTCCCAGGAAAACTGGACCTCTTTGTTGCATCTATTTTTTTTATGAGACTAGTAATAATCTAGCAGATTTTTTTTTTTATATTTTTAAATAGCCCAGTAATAGCAATGATCTGTCCTTGACAAAAGTCTCCAGTAAGATATATAAAACAGGAAAGGTAGACTGAGTTCTAAGGAATAAGCTGCTTCCAGAATTCTATGGGATGCCCTGATAATCAAGCTGTTTAGCGCTTACCTTGTGTCCCGTTATTTTCGCCCCTCGGATCCTGCGTTTCCTCCTCCAACAATTGGCTGAATGGATTAGGGGGTGGGGGAGGAGCGTTCTCATCCTCTTCAAAATGCATTGGCTGCAGAGGACAGAGAAGAGACTTTCACTTCTGCACATAATCAAGCAATAGCACAAGGCAGCACAATTCAGATAAGTTCACATCTCCAAAAGGACCAAGAAAGTCCAGGCCCTGACATTTATGGCATCCCTTTAACTACTGCCGACCGCAGATAGCCGAATGACGGCTGCACTGCGGCCGGCCAGTTCTGAGTGGACGTCATATGACGTCCTCCCAGAACGCGCTCTCCTGCGCGCCCCAGGGGGGCGCGCACCCGCGATCTCCGTGATCGCTGTGTCCTACGGACACAGCTTATCACGTGATGTGGTAAAAGGCCAATCACAGCGGCCTTTTACCACGTGATCAGCGGTGTCCAATGACACGCTGACCAGAGGGAAATGCAAGTGCCGGTTCTCGGCTGCACTTTCCTCACGCTGTCAGATCGTGAGGAAAGTACTGCCGAGAACCGGCAGTTGTCAGAGCGGGGATCGGCACCGATCATCAGGGCACTGATGATCAGTGCCCTGATGATCGGTGCCCAGCAGTGCCACCCGCAAGTTCCGCCCACCTGTGCCCAGCAGTGCGCCCACTAGCTCCGCCCACCTGTGCCCAGCAGATCACCCACCTGTGCCCAGTAGTGCACCCACCTGTGCCACTCTGCAGTGCCACCCACCTGTGCCCAGCAGTGCCACCCACCTGTGCCCAGCAGTGCCACCCACCTGTGCCAGCAGTGCCACCCACCAGTGCCCACCCACCACCAGTGCCACCACCAGTGCCCAGGGGTTGTGCCAGTCAGTGCCCAGCAGTGATGTGCCAGTCAGTGCCGTCTATCAGTACCCATCATCAGTGTCACCTATCAGTGCCGCCTATCAGTGCTGCATATTAGTGCCGCCTATCCGTGACACCTCATTAGTGCTGTCTATCAGTGCCGCCTATCCGTGCCACCTCATTAGTACTGCCTATCAGTGCCCTTTAGTGCTGCCTATCCGTGCCCATCAGTGCCGCCTATCAGTGCCCATCAGTGCTGCCTCATCAACGCACATCAGTGAAGGAGAAAAAATACCTGTTTGAAAAATTTTATAATAGAAACAAAGAAACTTTTTTTTTTTTTCAAATTTTTTGCACTTTTTTTATTTATAGCGCAAAAAGTAAAGCGCCCAGTGGCGATTAAATACCACCAAAAGAAAGCTCTATTTGTGAGAAAAAAATGATCAAAATTTCATATGGGTACAATGTTGCATGACCGCGCAATTGTCAAAGTGCGGCAGCGCTGAAAGCTGAAAATTGGCCTGGTACATAAGGGGGTATAAGTGCCTGGTAGGCAAGTGGTTAAGTAAGCGCCCCGCCCATTGGGTCATTTAAAAAAAGGGACGTGCACGGAGAAAATATAGGGGCTACAATTGCTGACTTCTGATTCTGAAAAGGCCAGTTTGCCTGGCTGTCATGGCTGCAGTGCTTTTGACCTGGAATACATATGCAGATCTGGGGCCCAGGTTTAATTTTCTCCATGCTTGTCCTGGGTTCGGTGACAGCCGGGCATAAACAGTCTGTTATCGGTTTATTAGCCTTAACTGGAACCTGTAGTGTGTTTTCGGTGAGTGCATTTATTGAGTCTTTACTGTTGTGTCTGTGAAAATAGTTTGACTTTTTTTTTTTTTTTTTTTTACTTGCAGATCTGTAACTACTCTCCTCTCTAGTGGCTGTTTGTGTATCAGGCAATCTGTCAACATCCCTGCTTAAAGTGTATGCGATCCCAGGATCTAACAGCAGAGTCAGCACAAGGGGAATGGCAAGCTTGGGCACATCTGCAGAGGGGGGCCAGTGGTCCCCCGTATTTGGAAATTGTGCCAACAAGGAAACCCAGGTGGCAGATTAGATGAGCATCTCTCACTTTCCAAGGTAAAGAGAAAAAAAAAATAACAGCAGGATGAGTTGAGGAGAAGGGGGGTGTTTAATGGTATATTTAAAGTAAGTCCATATCTTGGAAAATATTAGATACAAGAGGGCACACTATAAGTGCAATATGTAAGTCTTACAAACTGCACTTAGATTGCGCCCTCGTATCTCTCTTTGTGCTGTCACAGGTATTCCTTCTGCTGAGGTGCTACTCCTAAAGCCAGCTGAATTAACCCATTATATGTAGATTATGGATAGGACGACTCATTCAGCCAGGACATTATATAGGTGGAGCCATCAGATTATTGTGCTGGAACAAATTTCTTACTTTTGTTTACATACACTATTGAACTTTTCTGTTATATTATTATGTTGCAAAGCGCTGCACAAACTGTTAGTGCTATAGAAATCCTGTATAATAAATAACATATAAGAGCAAAAACAAACCTCAAAAAACAAAAAAACAGACCAAAAAAAAACAGACCCAAAAAAAAAAAAACAGACCCAAAAAAAAACAACCCAAAAACAAACCCAAAAAACAAAAAAAAACAAACCCAAAAAACAAAAAAACAAACCCAAAAAACAAACCCAAAAAACAAACCCAAAAAACAAACCCAAAAAACATTGATCCTGGCAGAAATCCGATGCCTGTTCTGCACCCTTATCCGTAATAATGTTCACAGCTCTCTGTGGACTACAGAACAGCTCCCTCTTGTGTTATGGAAATGATGAGGGAGGAAGTGTTCCCTGATCCTGTCCAAGTGCGACAACGTTGGTGTTCAATAGATACGGTACACAGGGAGTATGTTGTCACCCTACAATAGGAAGTGCATTACTGGTAGGAGGATCACCAGATTATAGGAAGGAAAAAGCTGGATCAAAAAAAAAAAAAAAAAAAAAAATGTAATGCAGCCACTAAATCTAAATAATAGTTATCTTATTATTAAGGATTATTTATGTAACTTACTTTTTTTTCGGGGGGGGGGTCAGGTGACTGAGCGAAGGGAACATTTTTTCAAGTGTTACTGTATGCAAACTCTGTGAGCAGACTTGTATGGGTAAGAGAGCAGTGAGACACAATGAATACAGAGCACACCACACAAGAAGGAAGCTGAGTAGGTGTTCTGCATATAGAAGTGCATACGGCTGGGTGCAGGAGCCAGCAGAGTGCAGACAGGCGGATATCACACCTGCTGGGGACACCTTATAAAATCTAATGGAAGACAGACGGAGATGTGAGATTTCAGCCTCGGACATCCACTTACCGCACTTGGCTTTTCCACCACTTACCGCACTGCCCGCCAGGACTTGTGACTGGGGCCCAGCAGTCTTTAAATCGTACCGATTCTGCTCCCTGATCTATAGGAGGAAGATAAAGGATGAATAATCAGGAATTGTCAATTATATTGAGAGGAAATGCTCACATCACTTCTACTGTATGTTATACCAACATATCACCAGGATTGCTTTTTTTTCAGTTCCCAGGTCTGTACCATCCCTGAGCCGAGTTCCTGGGTCCGTACACCTGCTGTGCCCAATACGAGGGGTTCCCACCATCCCTGTGCTGAGTTCCCAGGTCTGTACACCTGCTGTGCCCATTATGAGGGGTTCCCGCCATCCCTGTACTAAGTTCTCACGTGTGTACACCTGCTGTGCCCATTTATGAGGGGTTCCCACCATCCCCACACTGAGGCCTTTGATCTGCACACCTGCTGTGTCCATTATGAAAAGTTACTACCATCTCTTCATTGAGTTTCAGGGTCTGTACACCCGCTGTGCCCATTATGGAGGGGTTCCCACCATCCCTGTACTACGTTCTCAAGTGTGTAAACCTGCTGTGCCCATCATGAGGGGTTCCCACCATCCCCACACTGAGGCCTTTGATCTGCACACCTGCTGTGCCCATTATGAAATGGTACTACCATCTCTCCATGAGTTTCGGGGTCTGTATACCTGCTGTGCCTATTATGAGGCACCATCCTTGTGCTGAGTTCTCAGGTCTGTACACCTGCTGTGCCCATTATGAGGGGTTCCCACCATCCATGTGCTGAGTTCCCAGGTCTGTACACCTGCTGTGCCCATTATGAGGGGTTCCCACCATCCCTGTGCTGAGTTCCCTGGTCTGTACACCTGCTGTGCCCATTATGAGGGGTTCCCACCATCCCTGTGCTGAGTTCTCAGGTCTGTACACCTGCTGTGCCCATTATGAGGGGTTCCCACCATCCTTGTGCTGAGTTCCCAGGTCTGTACACCTGCTGTGCCCATTATGAGGGGTTCCCACCATCCCTGTGCTGAGTTCTTAGGTCTGTACACCTGCTGTGCCCATTATGAGGGGTTCCCACCATCCCTGTGCTGAGTTCTCAGGTCTGTACACCTGCTGTGCCCATTATGAGGGGTTCCCGCCATCCCTGTGCCGAGTTCCCTGGTCTGTACACCTGCTGTGCCCATTATGAGCGGTTCCCGCCATCCCTGTGCCGAGTTCCCTGGTCTGTACACCTGCTGTGCCCATTATGAGGGGTTCCCGCCATCCCTGTGCCGAGTTCCCTGGTCTGTACACCTGCTGTGCCCATTATGAGGGGGGGTTAACACCATTCCAGCACTGAGACCTTTGATCTGCACACACCTGCTGTGCCCATTATGAAACTATGCTACCATCTCTCCATGAGTTTCGGGGTCTGTATACCTGGTGTGCCTATTATGAGGGGTTCCCACCATCCCTGTGGTAAGTTCTTGGGTCTGCACATCTGCTGTGCTCATTATAAGGGGACCCCCCCCATCCTGGACTGGAGAGAACATACAAACTCCATGCAGTCAGACTACATCCCTGGGACATAGTTGACATAGTGGAGTAGAACCCCAGTCACTAAACACAGCACTGCACTGCCAGGAACAATGGAGATCCACAATTCAATAGTAAAACAGTCTGCCCAGAAGAAGGACGCCCCCCAAGCGTTGCTCAGGACACCGCAGTCCACACAGTAAACATGACAATAATAAAAGTGTCCATAAAGCCGGCAGGACATCCTGACCATAAAGCAGCAGCTGCCGGAAAAGTCCGGCCTAGAATGGGCTGATGAGGGATTCGGGAACCAACGTCACCTTGTTCCTCTTCTCCAGGACGTCTGTGGGGTTGGTGTTCAGTGGGACAAACTGGTTGGGGTCTTCTATCTTAATGGGATATCCGCTGGAGTTCAGCTCGTTGGCCTTCATCCACTGCAATACAGAGAGAAAGGGGTCACCTGAGGACGGGGAGGTGATGAGCTCCGGAGAGCACACAGGAATCTCCACAAAATAATCTTTTCTGCTTTCTGATATATTAGGTGAAGGGAACTGCCTGGCACCATTTTTAAGGATTTAAAAAGGACCTGTCATCAGGTATACTTGTTCATGTTAAATGCAGATTATTAAGTAATAGGTCAGTCAGTATGACACGTCCAGATATTTATTCTCAGAGATCACAGTACTCCCCCTGACAATGCCTTCTTTCCAGAAGTACAAAGCCATTTCTATTCCTGAACTGAAACGTCAGCTCAGAGATGACACAGTTCTGTAAATCCTGTGCAGTTCTTCCCTGTGTTCACAAATACCTGACACAGATCAGCCCCTGCTGCATCCTCTTGATACAAAATGACAATGTTGCGTCTGATCGCCGGGGGAGAAGGGACTAAGAAATGTTTCTCCTGGGCCTGCAGCAGACTTAAGTTTAGGGATGTGTTCTTAAACCATAAAATGTTTGAAATTCTTGAAAAGTGATACAGTTACTATATATTATGACATGTAATATAAATCAAAATAGAGGTAAGTGAGCGCAAAACACAGAGAGCCGCTAGCATATAAGGCAATCCTCAGCACCTCAAATGAAACAGTATGCATAGGGTATGCAGCGCCATGGAATGATATGATGAATAATAATTTGATTTATAGATATAGAGATCAACCATATATCAACAACATATAGCAGTCCTTGTGTTGAGACTCAAATTCAGATAATCAAGAAAAACAAAACTTATATTGATAAGTTCATAAATCAATGCTAGCGGATATAAAAAGGTATGAGATACACCAGGTGACATCAGAAGCAATTGGTGCATTCCAAATCCAGATTCGTGTATTCAGAAAATCTAGTGCAATTATGCGCCTACCACAGGGACATACAAACAGAGCGTTGTACGTATGACATCAAGTAGATCATCGGTGGACATCAGGGCCCCATCAGCGGTAAAGACAGCATCTGGTCATCGGGGATGGTAAATCTCACTCTGGGGTCGTCTCAGTCTCCCTGGTGGGTCCTGTCGCGACCCGTGGTCGCCGCCACCAACAGGCGACAATCGCACAGCCGCGACTAACAGTAATACGTCACGCCCGCGGCATCAGACCCCAGACCTTCTCACCAAACTCGTGACCGAAGGACCAGCTGATCTAAAACCGCGGTGTGACGCACGTAACAAGGCCCCACCCAGCACAGCGATTGCCCAGCTAATGGTCTACAATCTGTGCCTGCAGCCTGAATGCGCTTGTTACTGGGTCGGGTTAATTACGCAACTAACCCTTCTACTGCCACCACCACTTTTGTCGGAGACTGGGAAACTCCCGTTATCAAATATACACTATAATGATTGAAATATTGATCTATATAGCACGGCCCGCGGACCTGCTATACAGAGATATAACAAACAGTAGCGTCTCTTCAAAGGCAGGGATTCGTGAACTGCAAGTAAGCGCTTAGAAACAGTTTAACACTTTCACAAAAAAAGATTTATTTCTAACAGGGTCAAAACAGGTGCGATAAAATATTTACAAGGAGATGTCACAAAAATATATATATATATGTATATAAAGACACAGCAAAGAGATAATTAGGAAGAAGATTACAGGGTTAAGTTACTTGCCCATATGCCTGGGTTTGCAAATCCAAGATGCAGAGCAGAAAGGTTCTTTGATCTCCTCGGTTATGATGTTACCTCGGAGATCTCTGTGTGTGTGTGTGAGTGTGACAAGCTCCAACTCTCTTAAAAAGTCCCTCTCAAGGGGAGGGGGGGGGGCTCTGACTACACATTTTGGGAGTGGTCATTGGGGAACTCTAAACTCAACTACCAGCTTCATATCCCATGATATGAACCATACAGTTGACCTGAGGAATGTTCAGCTCTCAGGTCAGTTTGATAAGGTGTGGGGCTTACATAGCTTTGGGTGACCAAAGTGACACGTTCGTAGACAGCCTGTCTCCACTTCTCATGTCTTAGGTTGTTCCACATCATCTGCCAGGAGATAAAGTCTGCCTCACAGGAATGCAAGGGGGGGATGTGAGGAATGATTCGAGGAAGACCTCAAATACAGCAAGGAACAGGGGAACTCCGCTTCCAGCTCTGATGAGCTAGTTTGTTACAAAAGCAAAGGTTGAAGGAGAACTCCGCTTCCAGCTCTGATGAGCTAGTTTGTTACAAAAGCAAAGGTTGAAGGAGAACTCCGCTTCCAGCTCTGAGGAGCTAGTTTGCTACAGGTCCAACGAAGCTCAAACTCCCGATAGCATGCTTCCAAAAAACGCTCCACCTTGCGAAGCTCGAAAAATAACGAGCCGGGGGGCAAAATGGCGCCAACAGTGAAGTATGCCTTTATTCAAGTAAGATCCGCAATAAACTGTAAACAACTCACATAAGCACATAACAGCTTCCAGGTCTAATGTGTAGGTTCCCTGGTGGTTAGTGGCTTCTCATAAATAAGTGGCGACGCCAGGGAACCTACGCATTAGACCTGGAAGCTGTTATGTGCTTATGTGAGTTGTTTACAGTTTATTGCGGATCTTACTTGAATAAAGGCATACTTCACTGTTGGCGCCATTTTGCCCCCCGGCTCGTTATTTTTCGAGCTTTGCAAGGTGGAGCGTTTTTTGGAAGCATGCTATCGGGAGTTTGAGCTTCGTTGGACCCACCAGGGAGACTGAGACGACCCCAGAGTGAGATTTACCATCCCCGATGACCGGATGCTGTCTTTACCGCTGATGGGGCCCTGATGTCCACCGATGATCTACTTGATGTCATACATACAACGCTCAGTTTGTATGTCCCTGTGGTAGGCGCATAATTGCACTAGATTTTCTGAATACACAAATCTGGATTTGGAACGCACCAATTGCTTCTGATGTCACCTGGTGTATCGCATACCTTTTATATCAGCTAGCATTGATTTATGAACTTATCAATATAAGTTTTGTTTTTCTTGATTATCTGAATTTATGAGTCTCAATACAAGGACTGCTATATGTTGTTGATATATGGTTGATCTCTATATCTATAAATCAAATTATTATTCATCATATCATTCCATAGCGCTGCATACCTTATACATACTATATTATGACATGTAGCTGCATGTTTAAAATAACTTTCCCAACCTTTCCTCCTTTTTACATTTCTTCTGTTTTTTTTTCTCTCGCTTGCCTTGGTCTCTGAAGAGCAAACCGCATTAGGATCGCTCTTCACAGAGTGGCATTTTATCTCCTTTTCATCTCCTGCTTTAGCCTCTTGAACCCCACACTTGCAAATCGTTGCAGAATGCATGCACAGTGGCCCCATTCAATTGAATGGGTGTGGACGGGTGGGCGCTACACCCACTGAAATCAACAGGGGGTATAATTCCTGCATCGGCCGAAATGCAAAGCATTTTGGCAGCAGCATGTGAACACCCCTGGCTGCTCCCTATGAAGCTAGAAGGGCAAGAAGAGTAAAAGCATGGCTCAACTGCAGCCTTTTAAACTGGCCATAGACAGATCGAATCTTGGCCAGTTCTGCAGGGACCAGCTGAGATTCGAGTCATCTATGAGCTGATTGCACTCAAGTCAATCCATTGATCAACTTATTCACTACCAGCCTGTCGGATTTTTTTGTATGTGATCACTGCCAGTGGCTATAGCTGCCAGAAGTGATCGTTGTGTTCTGCCGACAGGGAAGGGATGGTGGGATGCCCCCCATCAAAGCAGTCAGTGTTGGAGTATCCGAGTGACTTTTTTCTCCTTCAATCATGAAAACTGTATAATCTATGGCTGTACTGTTCTTCAACCACTAGTGTGAAGGCGCCCTTAGACTACCTATGCAGGCGTGACTGAGTGAATTTTGCATGTCACGCATTCATTTCAATGGGCTACTCAAAAGTAGAAGAATCTTTTCTTCTTCTTTTTTTTTTTTTTTTTAAATCGTTTTGTACCAAAACGCACGTCATATTGTTAGGAATCAATGGTACTGCAGTGTGCCTGTAAAAGGAATGCACTTTGTGTTCCTGCATGTTGACTAAAAGCATGCGTTCCTGTGGTTGACCAATAGCACAGCCAGGTCCTCCACTCCTTAATCCTCTTTGCAGTTTAGGGATTTGCAAGTCCAGGATTTGCCCCAAGTATGTAATATGCACACAGCAGCTCCTGATCGGCTCCCAGTGGTGCCCCTCGTTCTGCCAGACTATGTGCTGTTGTGCAGGGGGTGACATGAGTGATACCAGGAGGTACATACAAAATACTATTACCGATTTATTTAGAGTACATTTGAACCCTCACCTTGTGATTAATCACAGCTCAAGCCGATCAGCGGGTGCCAGCCTATGATTGGCCACCGGCACCCGCTGATCAGCATGGAGGAAGACAGGGCAGAGCTCTTTCAATATACACAATGCAGATCTGTCCTGTCAGCAGGGATGAGCTGGTTCTTGTTTGACTGCAAAGTAGGTTATAAAAACTAGCACACCTCTTAGTGAAAGCACCTCACACAAACACTGGTTAGGCACACATTTAACCCTTTGATGACCATAGATGTTTAACCCCTTCCCAGCCAGTGTCTAATACAGTGACGGTGCATATTTTTAGCATTGATCGTTGTATTAGTGTCACTGGTTCCCACAAAGTGTCAAAAAAGTCTCACTTAGTATCAGATTGCCCACCATAGTATCGAAGTCCCGCTATAAAGCACTTATCGCCACAATTACTAGCATTAAAAAAGAAAAAAAAAAAAATTCCAGTATATATATATTATTATTATTATAATTGTTACTTATATAGCGCCGTCAATTTACGCAGCGCTTTACATGTATATTGTACATTCACATCAGTCCCTAACCCTCAAGGGGCGTACAATCTAAGGTCCCTAACTCACATTCATACATACACATATTAGGGACAATTTAGACAGGAGCCAATTCACCTACCAGCATGTCTTTGGAGTGTGGGAGGAAACCAGAGTACCCAGAGGAAACCCACGCAGGCACAGGGAGAACATGCAAACTCCAGGCAGGTGGTGTCGTGGTTGGGATTCGAAACCAATGACCCTAGTACTGCCAGGCGGAAGTACTAACCATTTAGCAACTGTGCTGATATTCACAAAGTGCTGCCAGGCAGACATGGTAACCATTTAGCCACTGTGCTGCCCCAATATGCCACAATATGAAGGCGCTATAACTTTCGAGCAAACCAATCCATATATGCCTATTGGGATTTTTTTCAACCAAAAATATGTAGCAGAATACATACTGGCCTAAATTCATAAAGTAATCAGCTTTTTAATTGGATATATTTTATAGCAGAAATATATATATATATATATATATATATATATATATATAAGTTTTGATGTATTTTGAGTGGCTGGTATGCTGATCCAAAGGCTTCAGTAATTGTAAAAACCAAGGAGAGCAGAAATTTCTGAAAGAAGTCCCTATCTGCACTCTTGCACCAACTCAGTGAAGATTTGGTGCAAGAAGATAACCATGGAAGCCAGGCAGCTAGCATTTTCAGTAGGAAATCTATAAAAAAAGGCAGCCTCCAGGTATTCACCTGAACAGGTGCCTTTCATGTCCCTGGAAACACCCATTTTCTCCCTTCTACATATGTGATGCTAGAGCTTAGCTCACCGTGATCTTAGTCCTTGGACTCATCTCGCCGTTTAAGGACGCCTCAGGAACCTGGACCTTCATATACGTGTTTGGCGAGTTCAGCCACCTAGTCTTCTCCCTCTGCTGCCTCTGGGCGAGGAATTTCAGAGGAGACCGTGGCATGGACTGCTCATCATCAAATGAAAACGCTGTGACTGTTGCGGGGATCTCTACTTCACTCTTGTGCCGTGGCTTCTCTCGTGTCAGAGGCTGCCTGTAAGCGAAGCCGGTTCGGTAACCCTGTGGAGGTCGGAGAGAGAAAAAACATTCAGATGCAAGCTGTCCAATAAAGGGTTAGCAGAGCTTATTATGAATGTCCATAAAAAAAAAGAACATCTGGGTAGCAGTGACCAGAACATTTATTTATTTCAGGTACTTATAGTGCCATCAATTTACGCAGCACTTTACATATATGATTTCATTTATTGTTAGCTGTAAACAGCAAGAACATACAGGAAAAATAAAAATGCTCAATTTTAAGAGAGCTAATTTTCCAAGGATGAGAGCTGCTCTAAGATTTAGACTGGAATGGAATATTGGCATCAATGAACACAACACAGAAATGGGAGTTCTTCAAACAGACTGTATGTGAACACACAGCAAAATATATTTCCATGGGCAACAAGTTTAAAAGACTAAAAATCAAAGCTATCTGGCTTACAGCCAAAGTTAAAAGCTCTTATCATTTATAGCTTTTTTATTATTAAATATGTACTGCTTTTAAACCTCCAAAAAAAAAAGCGTTACCATATTGCAGCTTACCAGGTCTTAGATGGGATGGCTGCCTTGGTCTTCATTTTTCAGGGTTTTTTTTTTACATTTTATTTTCACCTGGTGATCCTGCCAGTAACACACTTACTGTTATAGGGTTACAACACAGTCATTGTACTGAAGAAGCAGCACCGTCACCCTAGTGGAGGAAGTATATTAGGACTACAAAACACCTCCCCCTCTCCTCCATATCACAGGTGGTATTGTTCTGTAGTTCACAGAGGTGAACTGGGCTGATCAGTCTCAGATTGCACTGCAGAGTGCACAGTATTACGGGAAAGATCAGCAGGTATGTTTTGCACTTATTGAACAAGTATAACAAACTGCTTTCAATTGCACATTTAACAGACCAAAAGAAAGCAGATAAGAGTTCAGTGTTCATATTTATATACACGTTCATAGAACAAACCGCAGAAAAATGGTTAAAAAAATGGTTAATAAAATTAAGATGGCCTTTTCCCAGCAGAGCTCAGTATTAAGAGGGGTTGTCCCAGACTAGCCAACAGTTATTTGCTTGCCTCTGTCCAATTCTCCTGTAGGTGGCGGTATGACCCAAAGCTCCCTAAGGCTCCATGTACACTGCAGCTGAAAAACTCACGTTTAGGAACTTTTCTGCGTTTTTTTCAGCAGCCCCTGAACTCTCCCTAATGTTTTCCTATGTGACCGTGTACACATCGTCCTCTACAGGAAGTTGAGTTTACATTCATTTATTTTGAACGCAGCAAACTTGCGTTCAGGAGTATATTTTATCAGCATTTCAAACGCAGCTAACCGCGTTTATAAGCACTTGGAAAATGTTTTTAACTCTTCCATTTCCAGATGCTGCTCAGAGCCTTTTTTCATCATGAAAAATGCATGCAAAGCGTTTTCCCGGTACTCAAATGGACCCGGTACACCATACTTTGAGGTTTTGCATGAAAGAAAATATGTTAGACACTGCTGCAATAATTTCTGCACAGAAATGAGCTGGAACACATCCAAACACCTCAAAAACAAAAAAAAAAAACAGCTAATCTCAACAAATTCTGCTCTCTCTGCTTCTGCTCTCTCTATTTCTCCCAAAATGTCTGAAATAGTTAATTTTTTTACTTCTTTTCAGTGCATTCTGGGCATTTTGAATGGTTTCCTGAGTTTATCTTTAAAAAAAACGTTTCTAAATGCAAACGCGCATAAACGCAGTATGCAAACGCGGCTAAACAGACGTTTTTTTAACCTACGTTTTTCCAGCAGTCAGTTTCCATCGTTCAGAAGTGTCCCGTGTACATGGAGCCTAAAACTCCCTGTGTTCCTCAATGGACGAGGAAAGAAAAAGCCAAAACTGTTTGTTTTGGATGGAGAGTGGAAGGATTATAACCCCACTGTGGAGATTTACACTCTCTTTGCCATGGTGACTACGGCTATTGGCATAGACAATGATGAAAGATCGAAAGAGCAGGGCCCTCAAACCCCTCGTGTATTGTTACGGTCTTGTCTCATGTTCTGTCCCCCCACTATAATGTACAGCGCTGAGCATACGCTTTGGCGCTATATAAATACTTTTTACACAGGTGTCTAAAAGGAATAGGGGAGAAATCATCCAATGGAGACCATTTGGCTAAAAAGATTCTTGTGAAATAATTCAGAATGGCACAAAAATGTGCATCGAATAAAAACTAATTTTGCAGACTCCCATCATAGAAATCTGACAAAGTTTTGATAGAAATTCTTTAGATGTGTAATACTCCCAACAGCCTGGAGATGACAGTATAGACAAATCTGTGTAATATAAAGAGGAGGGTGTACAAGTGCTGAGGATCTTCCTACTGATGACTCCATGAACCAGAGATGACAACCAATACCCCCTATTAATGACAATCAATACTTACCTGTGCAACAAAAAGGAGGTGAGTGCCCATGTGCAGAGGAATTTATTGATGAGAACCAAAACTCCTTATTAACCACCTCCCATCCGGCCATTGTGTATAAATGGCCTCCTCAACCCCTGCTTGTGCGCGCTGCCTGGGAGCGCGCAGCACCGCGATTCGGTGCCTGCTGTGTCCTCCAGGTACAGTGGAGCACAGACCGTCGTACAGAACCTCTCTGCGAGGTCCCGATCATGTGATCACTGATTGGCCAATCACATGCAGAGTAGTAAGCAAGATTTCACTTCTGACATCATTGTTTACTACATGTAAAATCTGTGAATGATCACAGAGGTCACATGGTACAAGACTATTCACAACAGCCATTTGACAAGCTGTGACCAATCGCAGCTCACACAGTAGTTCAATGGCTGCAAGAATGCAGCCAGAGGAGGAGAAATGATTGCTTTTACAGCCTTTATGGGTATAAAAGCAATCAGTGTAAAAATAAAAAAAAAAAATCTTCATCACCCCCCCACAAGTAGTACAGTGTCACCATGGTGACACTTTACTGCTAGGGTGACAGTATGTATATATAAAAAAAATAAATAAAATATGTATGTATGTATATATATATATAATTAAAAATAAAAAAATAAAATAAAAATGTAAAAAAAAAAAAAAGTTTAAAAATTATAATTTTTGGTTATAAACTAATTTGGGTTATTGTGATCACATGCAGAGTAGTAAGCAAGATGTCACTTCTGACATCATTGCTTACTATGTGTAAAATCTGTGAATGATCACAGAGGTCACATGGTACAAGGCTATTCACAACAGCCTTGTACCATGTGACAAGCTGTGACCAATCACAGCTCACTCAGTACTTCTCAATGGCTTAAGAATGCAGCCAGATAGAAGGAGAAATGATTGATTTTACAGCCTTTATGGGTGTAAAAGCAATCAGTGTAAAAAAAAAAAAAAAAAAAAATCTTCATCACCCCCCACAAGTAGTACAGTGTCACTATGGTGACAATGTACTGCTAGGGTGACAGTATGTAGAAAAAAAAAGCATAAATGTAAAAAAATGTTTAAAAATTAAAATTTTTTTGGTTATAAAGTAATTGGGTTATTTTTTTTGTACTAAAAAGATAACAGAATACATTCTGGCCAAGATTTATGATGAAAAATTATTTATTTGCAAAATTTTATAAGAAAAACACTCTAAAAAAAATTTGGGACTTTTTCCATTTACATAGCAAAAAAAAAAAAAAAATCCCAGTGGTGAATAAATACCACCAAAATAAAGCTTTATAAGTCTCAAAAAATGCTAAAAAATTCATTTGGGTACAGTGTTGCATGACCGCGCAATTGTCATTCAAAGTGTGATAGCGCTGAAAGCTGAAAATTGGCCTGGACAGGAAGGGGGTAAAAGTGTCTGGACTTGAAGTGGTTAATGACAATCAATACTCCCTAGTGATAACGACAACAAATGCTTCCTATTGATGACAACCAATACTTTCTAATAATGGCAATCACTGCTCCCTATTGATAGCAATCAGTACTTTCTACGGATGATCATCCTAAAATATAAAGAGATGAGTGCAAAAGCATAGCAGAATTTCTTATTGATGATAGTCAATGCTTACAGATGACCATCAATTTCTTCTACAAACAAAATATTTGCTTTCAATGACAACCAGCACTTACCTGTCCAATATAAAGAGATAGGTGTACATGTGTAGAGGAACTTCTTATTGATGACAATACTTATTAATGATAACCAATATTTCCCATTTATGACAACCAATTCTTCTAAAGGCCAATATTTCCTATTGAGGACAATTAATTCTTCCTACTGATGACAAGCAATAGTTCCCATCGATGACAACCAAAACTTTCCAATCATGACAAATCAATACTTCCTGCTGATGACAATCAATCGTTTCTGCGAATAGTAATCAATATTTCCTTTTGATGGCAGCCAATGCTTATAGGTGCAATATAAAGAGATAGGTGTACAAAACTTCCTGTTAATGACAACCAATAATTCCTATAAAGCAAAATTTCAACATTGAACAATTTTTCTGTAATGTGAGCGCCTGCAGGAAACACTCCAATGTGATGAGAGCTGAACCCATGACCCCAGCGTGGCAAGAACCCTGTAATCTCTTGTCACAGCACTTTCCAAAATGTATAATTCGCTGTATTTTCTTTTGTTCAGAATTCCTTTGTTAAATCTTCAGCACTCACCAGGTTGTCCAGCATTCTCATGAGCGATTCAAACTCCAGCTCTCCTACTTTCCACTTGTGCTGGCCTTCCATGTTCACCCCCTCCCCCGCCAGACGCAGCCACCGAATGTGTGACGGATTTGTACTTCTCCAGGTCCAGGAGGAGGAGGTTGTCGATTCCTCCAGAGCCAGCCAGAGCGTGGACCTTCAAGGAAAGAACCAGCAACGGTGAAGGCAGATGTCAA